TTTTATTTCTGGTCTGTCTTTTACAGTTATGTTTTTGGTGGGTTGAGTTATAGTTTCTTTTTGCGTGAAGACGGATGCAAAGAATGAGTTAAGCAGTTCTGCTTTCTCTCTGTTGCCTGTTACTTCCTTGCCATCTTCTCTCTTTAGTGGACCGACTGTTTCCTTGATTTTTTTCTTGTTATTTATATGTTGGAAGAAACTTTTTTTATTATCTTTGACTTTTGTTGTAAGTCTTTGTTCATTCTGAGCCTTTGCTATCCTGACTTCGTCTTTGCAAAGTCTGGCTATCTGCTGATATTCTGCCTTAGTTGTATGTCCTTCTTTCCGTTTTTTGTACTTGTCCTTTTTTTCTTTCAATTTGCCAGAGAGATCTTTGTGTAGCCATGCTGGTTTCTTCTTGGATTTCCTGTTTTTCTTTCTCAGTGGTATTGTGCTGGTCTGGGCTTCTATGATCATACTTTTTAGAGTTTCCCAAGATTCTTGAGTGGTTTTCTCCTTTAGGATTTTCATCCATGGAATCTTTCCCAAGTTCTCTCTGAGTTTATTGAAATCAGCTCTTTTAAAATCCAAGACTCTGGTGTCATTATGTTCTGTTGCTTGTGTTTGTGTTATGTTGAATTCTAGTATGACATGGTCACTCTCACCCAAGGTTCCTGCAGTTTCAACTCCCTCTTTCACTTCTTCTCTGTTTGTAAGAATTAAGTCCAATATGGCTGTCCCTCTAGTTTCACCCTCTACCTTTTGGACAACAAAGTTGTCAGCTAGGTTGGTTAGGAACTTATTTGATTTCTCACTTGGTGAGGAATTAGTTTTCCAATTGATATCAGGATAATTAAAGTCTCCCATTACTATTGTTGTGTGTTTCCTGCATATATTTGTTAGTTGGCTGGCAAAAAGGACGTTTATATTTTCTGCTTGATTGGGTGGCCTATAATATACACCTATGGCCATGTCATTCTTTTTTTCTTTTATATTGACCGTATGCATTCTAGGAGGTTTTCATCTTTGGTTTCATGCATTTCTGTAGCAATATAGTGGTCCTTGGAGGGAACTTGGAGGTCTTCTAGTCCAACCCCCGGCTTAGGCAGGAAATCCTATACCATTTCAGACAAATCGTCATCCAATCTCTTCTCAAAAACTTCCAGTGTTGGAGAATTCACAACTTCTGGAGGCAAGTTGTTCCACTGATTAATTATTCTAAATGTCAGGAAATTTCTCTTTAGTTCGAGGTTGCTTCTCTCCTTGATTAATTTCCATCCATTGCTTCTTGTCCTGCCTTTTGGTGCTTTGGAGAATAGGTTGACTGCCTCTTGTTTGTGGCAGCCCCTGAGATATCGAAACACTGCTATCATGTCAACCCTAGTCCTTTTTTTCATTAAACTAGACATACCAAGTTTCAGCCATCATTCTTTCTATGTTTTAGCCTCTAGTCCCCTAATCATCTTTGTTACTCTTCTCTGCATGCTTTCTAGAGTCTCAACATATTTTTTATATTGTGGCAACCAAAACTGAATGCAGTATTCCAAGTGTGGCTTTACCAAGGCATTATAAAATGATATTAACCCTTGATCTTGATTCTATCCCTGTTTATGTAGCCTAGAACTGTGTATACTGTACCTGTACATTTTGTTTTTCTTGCCTAAATGAAGAACCTGACTTTTTTCACCACTGAATTTCATTTTGTTAGATAGCGCCCGCTGTTCCAAGTCTGTCATGATCCTTCTGTATCTTGAATCACAAACTTGAAGTAAATATTTCAGTTGGGTTTGGAAATGCACCTGCTGCTCAGCTCACCTCTAACTTTACTCTTCCACTTCAGGCTATCAAGAGCAACTGAAGTACAAGCATCGTGATGGTTTTTACAGCACTTTTGGAGAATATTACTGTAAGGAAGGGAACACTTGGTAAGATTTCTTTGTTCTTAAGGTCACGTTTCTCAAACTTTCTACAATGATGGACTAACCAAATCAACATTCAAACAATTCAGGAGCCATAAAGGAGAACATTTGTAGCTGGGGATTGAAATGAGGGGTCCTTGGTGCTCTCTGAGCTTGGCTGTTTTCTTGCGGACATTTCATTACCCTAACTAGGTCATATCATCAGTGTTAGTAAGGAGTGCAGTTTGCTGTCCGTTTATATTCTGGTGTCTTGCCTGTCTGTGTGGGTGGGGATGGTCCTAGAGATTCTTTGGTTGAGCTGTTTACTTGGCCAAGTCCAAAAATGCCAGGGAATTTCTAGAAGCCTGGCACTCTGACAAATGAGCCATTAACAGACACATAGACATTTGCAACATCTATAGATTATGCAAAAGAGACAATCAACCAGCCCCAAAGCTTGGTAGCAACTCTCCACCAGTAATCAGCACTCAGATCAGCATAGATTAACTCCAAAGTCAACCTCATACCAACAATCAAGTAAACAATACCCCAGACAATAAACTGTCAAAGAACCATAAGTAAACAGCCCAACCAAAGAATCTCTTAAGACCACCCACACCCACAAGTCACCAAAGTATAAGGTTGGTTCCCTTTAGTGTTTGGATGGGAAGCCACTAGGAAATCCCATGGCTTTAGGCTAAACTTGGATGTTGAAACAGCATCCCAGAAGAAGAAAATGGGAAGACAGTGCCAGATTGCTGCCAAGAACATCACACAGGCATATTCATGTGATCCCCAAGAGACACTTCCCCAATTTATTGAGGGATGTTTTTAAAAAGGGGAGGATGCAATTTATACAGCAGGGAAATGGACTATTCCTCCTTACCAAGGGTCCAGCACATGTGCAGGATTGAAGAGAAACACGGTATAAGCATATCAAGCGGGGGAAAATATTCGGGAATGGTTTTTTAAAAGGGAAGATAATTGCCTATACCTGTGCAACCACCACATTGCTGGTGCAAAAGGGGGCTTTGACTGCCCAGTTATAGCTGTCCTCCTTTGTTGATACCTTCTTTCGATGGGTTCTTCAATCCCAAGATGGCTGAAGATCGTAGGAGCTTGGGAACTAGAAAAAGAAAAATGAGGTTCTCCTGTGCTCTGTGCTGTCTTGTAGGCTGACAGCTTTTGTGCTGAAATCTTTTGCTCGGGCAAGATCCATAATCTTTGTGGAAGACAAGCACATCAACGACGCTCAGAACACACTGATACGGCAGCAGGAGGAGGATGGATGCTTTCGGAGCACTGGGTCTCTTTTTAACAATAACCTCAAGGTACAAGAGGAGGGGTGAAAGAAAACGGAGACGTGTCTTTGGAAATGAGAGTAGGGTATATTGGGATTATAGGTAGTCCTCGATTTATGAAAATTGGGGTCACAATTTGGGACTGTAAATGATATAGTTGCTATGCAAGTCATCACGTGGCCAACCTGATTTTATGACTGTTTTTATGGCACTTGTTCAATGAATCACCATGGTTGTTAAGTGAATCTGGTTTCCCCAATTCACTTTTTTTGTCCAAAACTGGCCAGGAAGGTTGCAGATTATGATCACAACAGGACTATGCAACTGTCGTAAATGCAAGCCAGTTGCCAAGTGCCCAAATTGTGTTCATGAGTGGTGTGAGAGTCATACTTTTGAGGATGTATTGAAAGCTGGTTTATTCCAAGCCTGTTGTAACTTTGGACTGTCATGAAACAAATTGAGCTCAAGAAGGAATGTGAATTGAAGATACAGGCAGATTGAGTTGGTTTGGCCACATAGAGAATGATTGGGAATTACTCTGGACTTCTAATCCGGAAGAAAATATGTGTTGTCTTTCTGTTAATGAACAAGGACAACATTGACAAAACAGAAAGACTCATGAATATTCAGCAGCCAGGATTTAACATTTTACACGAAAAACTGACACAGTATATTCCAAAGTGCCCGAGGGTGCTTTTTCAGGAGGCAATTGAACTTTCTTCTTTTTGTTTGAAGACAAAGACATTTAGCTATGCATTTTGGGATGAACACCCTTCGAATAGTGTGGGAGTATGAACGGATTTCCAGAAAAATTGCAGAATACAGGAACCATTTGTGCTTCAATTTGAGATGGAGACAGCACAGACTCATCCTCAATAGCCTGCACCTGCCTTCAGCAGAAAAGGAACACAGGGCAAACAACATCCTGCAGCTAAGAAAGCTCCACACACATTTGCACTATTCAGGTGACCCTGATGACACAGATAAACCTCCTAGTGGCCTTGATGACTCACTCAGGGATGGACTTCCATTAATTTAACAACCGCTTCTCTGCCCAGTTGCTGAGTGGGCATGTCCATGGTGGGCATGTCCACCATGGTGTCTGCCTTGGAAGCCATATTTTACTTAGATATTTACTTAGCCATATTTACTTCTTCAATAAATTCTTATGAAATAAGGAGTTTCATTGGAACACTGACATCTGAGAGCAAAAAACGAACCTCGGAAGCCCGAGGAGGCCATTTTCGCCC